TTCTTTCTTTTTCTTTTTAAATTAAATCAAATCTGAAAGGTTGATTGGTTTTCTTACCTTCGTATCAAATTCAGAAAGTTTCCAAAGTATTACCGCTTTCTTAACTGGGCGAGGGAAGAGGAATGAGATTCCCAAGTTGTATTGTCTGCTTTCAGAAGACACGAAGGCCCCATTGTTCTGTCTCCCCCGAAGAGTTGGGGGGCCCGAATGTTGGGGAGGGTGGGTTGTCTTAGGCAGCAATAAAGGCAGGTTCCTACCCCCATCTTCACAAATCCAAAGACATTCACAAACCACCCGGGTAGCTGTGGCCTATTTCTCCTTGCCCTTGCCCCTGCCATGAGGTCTAGAAGCTTGATAGAAAACAATAAAAGGGAAACAAGGTTAACTGCTCAGGTGCGCAAGTGAAGTTTGAAAGGGGCACATTTATTTGTGCAATTGCACTTCAGGATTGCGACGCAGCTCACGAGCAACTTCAGGAGTTGGCACCTTGCCAGGGATGACGTATGCCGCCGGGCAGCGTGCTTTTTTGAGACCTTTGCCGAAAGCGTTTCTCGGCTCGCCGTGCTCGGGGCGCATTAGAGCTGCATCAGGAGTTCCCCGCTCTGTTTCTCCCTGGGTGAGCTTTTGCTGAGGCTCTTCTGCCCGTCAGCTCGGGAGGGTTTTCTGAGAGATCTTCTCCGCCCAGAAGCGAAGGGCCTCCGAGCCTCCGGCCGCTGGGCCCCTCGGCCGCCCGGCTTCCTTCCGTGCCTGAACGGGACGAGTTTGGGGGTTGCGAACCGCTCTGGCCTGCAGAGACGAGCGGTGCAGAACATGTTATTCAGCTAGAGAAGACGACTGCTGCGGAGACGCCTTGAAGGGTTTCATGGGGCCGTTTCCAAAGCAGTTTTGGGGGGGGAACCGCTCCGCGTTCATCCTCCTGTTTTGGATTTTGCACAGCACTTTTGCGCTACTCCACTGAGTAGTTTACTCCTTACCTTTGTATTCTTTCCAAAGAGGAAGCTGCACGCAAGGGGAGGAGATTTGAACCCAGAGCTCGCAGTTCTGAGTTCCCTCCTCTGCCGCCTGGCCGTTGCTCATCCGGAGGGAGGGAGAGGAATTGCCCCCCGCCGGTGACTTTGCAGAGAGTTTCTGGTTCATCCCTGCCCAGGTGGGGGCTCCTCTCCCCCTTCTCTGCCCTCCTTACTACACGGGCTGTTGGGGGCCTGCCAGCTCTTAGCCCCCCAGAAGAGAGGGTGGGGCTGGGGGGAGGAGATAAGGCCAGAGTGGATGGTTTCTTTCTCATTTTGTTATTTCTGTTTCCAGACCTGTATGGACTGTGTTTAATAAATTTTATTAAATGACCAATTATCAAGGTATATCTCAGCTGCTTTCTTTTGTTCCCTTCAGTTTTAAATGAGTTGTTTTCTTCCAGGTTTTAGCGGTACCTGAAAGTAACAACTCTGTCCCCTCCATCTCTATCCTTGGGGACCCATTTCCAGGTCAGCTTGATCCCCAAATATTTCTGCGTCCAGGAGGATGCTGGAAGTAGTCACAGAATCCAAATAAGTCTCGTTAACACAAGGAGCACCCGGCCCTCCTCACAGTACCACGGGATTTGGGGATGTGCCGGCGCTGATTCTCCAAGGGGGCTTGGCTCCCAGTCAGCCCGCAAGATGCCCTCCAGGCCTGAAGGAGACCTCCTGGGTGGTGGGGGCTGAGTGGTAGCCCTGGGATGGTTGATCCCTGATGTAGGGGCTGCCTTTGCAAGTAAAATACGCTTTGCACGTTTTGAAACAGTTGCTCTTATATTAAAAAACATTAACATTGCAGAAAACATCAAAATGCATATCTCGAATAACAAAGAGGAACATGAGCTATTATTCATGAAGTTCTTTTCTTGAATAGGATGGAGGAAACCAATATTCAAGTAATCAGATTAAACATTCAAAGTAATTCAGGTTAGGATTGGAGGGAGAGGTGGTGAAAGAGAGACGATTTTGATTCTCTAGGGTTCAAAAGATCCCAGCAGAAGGACGTTGGTAGGCTGGAGCAGCACCATCCCTGTGTGTTGAGTTCTCTGCCCCGAGGAGCTTGCAGTCTCTTCCAAATTCCAGCTTCAAGCGTTGAAAAAGCCCCAGGAAAAATTCTGATCTGCTCTTAACAATGTCCTTTTTTAAATCGCCCCGAGGGATTGCGTTGTTAATCTTCCTTTATGTTTCAGGTTTACAAAAACACGAGAACCATTTAAAATCCACCGTTCCTCCGACAGGGCGTTCTGTGTACGCATCCCCCCCCCCCGCAAAGTAG